TTTTTCCTTTTTTTTAGTAAAAATCATTTAGTGAGGACACTTGTTCTATGTGAATCATCGATTATTATGATTCAATATAAGAATAAGATTAAAATACGATTAATAACATAAGGCAAAGAAAACTAAGAAGGAGGCGGCGCAGGAGAAGAAAAAGAAAATGACTGGTAGTTAAATAGGTAATGTAAGTATTAATGTTGACCTTAAAATTGGATTCTTTTCTTATCAACAAGAGAAAAAAAATATAGAGTACTTTGTCATTGAGATAGTTTTTGTATTCTTTGCTGATATTGAAAATGAGTAAGAAACTAAAGAAAGAAAAACAAAACAAAGACAAAAGTTAGTAATAACAATGACCTAATAAATACTATGATCATTAGTTTCAATTATCTCTTTAATATACATTTATATTTATTTATTTATTTATTTGCTGGAATGTACATTTTTCTTCGCTTTGTAGTGCATTTTAAAAAAATAGAATTTTAGAAAGAAAGGAAAATATATAAGTATGTACATTACAATATAATGGTTAAATAATAATATTGGTATGCATATGTGTCTATAACATTTTTCAATGCTCATCAATCAAAAACTTCTCAAACAAATAATAATACAATATGAACCTTTTTATTCTTATAACTGATAAAAGTTAATATGATTAATTAATTTGTTTTTTACTTGTTGAAAGTCGATGTGTACCCATCAACTGATCCCATATAGAAAAAAATGAGCCATAATTCGAATTACTATGTTGATGATGATAATCATGTGCTAAAGCACCTGGCATAAGATCTGGTAACCAGTATTGTGTAGTAATATATGGAAAATTATATCCAGAATGGGCCATAACTATTTGATAAAGTTTAATAGTAACCCAAAGACATATTGTAAATATATGAATTTCTTTCAATAGTACTAGTGTAAACCAAACAGCGATTTGATTTATTATACCTTCAATTGGATCATCTAAAATAGCAGTTACACCTGTTGGTTGTTTATAAATATGATGTTTCTTATGTATATTTTTATATAACCATGGTGTATGTAATAAGTAATGTAACCAAAAGAAAATTGTATCTTGTATAACAATAAAAAGACCAATTTGAAAAAGAATAGTCGACCATGGTGGTCGTGGTCCTTGTATATCAACGTGACCAACATAATTGAAAATATAATAAAAAATTGGCCCAAGAAAAACTAAAGACATTTGATGATAGATTGTTCGTTTAATCATTAAATGAACCATATCAGGTTGAAAACGTAATTTTTTCTTATGTTTTTGTATACGATATTGATCAATTGATGGAATATCAAACATTTCAATATAAATTAAAAACCCATTACATAACCAAAAAACCATTTCATATGTCGCAAACATATAGATAGTAAAAAGCCATAGATCTGATTGAAAAAATGATGTTGATGAAAAAACAGAAGTATTTGTTGACATTGTTGAATTAACTTATTCGACTATCTCAAGAAAATAAAACTTTGATATGCTTTTACGTATATTTATATGTACATAAATATAGTTCGGTAAAGGTATAATAAGGATGGGAAAGAAGTAGGATAAAAAAAATACACATGAATAGCAAATAATGATCCGAAGAAAAAAAAAGAACGAACTAGTTCTTTTATGAAGCAAAACAATAGATAAGATATGAGATAGTTATTTTATAGCACTAAAAAGAATAATCGAGTGAATTTAAATAGATAAATTGTCACTCCTATGTATATTAGGAACTATTCAGAAATCATGAATGATAGAGAAGTTTCTGGATAGAAGATTAGTATAGTTTTGGCTTGAAAGAATTATTAGATGTACTGAAACCTATAGATTTCGATTGAAATTTTACATGGTTTCTGAGTTTGAAGTTAAGCATTTTGTAAAACACGATCTAAAAAAAACTGTTGAAGTATATAGGGGTGACATTTGCAATTCCTGTCTTGCACCCATAGTGCTTGATGCGATCGGCGTGACTCATTATTATCATAGTCACGGATATTGTTCTGATCCTGTGTCTGTGTTAACTGTATTAGCTTTTCTACAACACCAATAATTTCATACTCTTAGCTTATTGCAATAATTTATTCAATTTTTCAGAGGTAAAGCAACTAGACATAAATGTTACAGGATAAATCAGAACTCAGAAAAATGTAAAATTTTTCCTATGACAAATTAAAATCGGAAGTGAGAATCAAGTGAAAAACACAATAGAGGTACAGTTGTTGTTACAAATACAATTAAAAGAAACTATCACTGAACCCTTTTGAACCAGAAAAGCTTGCAACTGGGAAAGTAATTAAAGTTATCTCAATATAAAATATATCTGTTTTTTAGATGTCCAAAATAGGATCAAAGATCTTTGATTTCGAATTATTCATCTCATGAAATTTTGAATAGTGATCATTGTTCATTTCAACAAGGATAAATTGCTCCAGGAACTCTATCCTTCATTGCTGAAAACAACAGAAGTTGCTGTTAAAAATAAAAGTAATGTTACGCACTGTTATATAGTATAGCCTATAACATCAGCTGTTAGTCAATTATTAGACAAATTCTTATTGATTCTACAGGAAAAAGAAAATAAATTTGGTAAGAGAATGTAACAAGATTTAATTATACCACCAGATATCGTAGTACAAGCTTCAAAATCTGGGAAAAGCAGCAATGAAAAACATCGCATTTTCTTAAATGAAATTCTACGCTCATTAGTTGGTAGAAAATTCCTTCTTTTGCTTGATTCGTAGAAAATTCAAATTGATCTAAAAAAATTTAGAGCAGTATTCCCAAATCAAGATAGTCAACTATTAATTTTTCCTGAAAGATCAACTGGTCATTTTCAACCAGTAGTGTGTTTATTTCGTTCATGGAGATTTTTTTCATAAGAAAATAGAGCATTATATTCATATCAATTGAACAGAAATCACTATAACCGATCGTCAATATTTCCTAAGTATGTACTCTGCTATTCTCAATCAACTGTGTACTTCTCAATTTCAAACTCTTATTAAGTCTGGATTTGTACAAGCTAAAATAATCAAAGAAACAATGGGTGAGATTGACAAACCAGAAAATATTTGCTTTAAATTTGATAATCTTTATTACTTCACTATTAACTATGAAGAGCGAACGCTCTTTATGTGTGTGTGGTGCAAAAAAAACTTTTGTTATTACCTTTGGATTGAAGTTTTTCATCCCTGTTTGTAGTAAATCTATTGTTTTCATATGAAATGAAGTCAAAAGTTCTGATAATCTACGAATTTTTATATAAAATTGTCGACGTTCCTCCCACTTTGACATCGGTAAACTTACATAAGAATCTGAATCTCGAGTGGTCCTAATGTGATAGATAGATTTCAACAAGACTATAAAAGTGTACTATCTTGAAAATTTCATCATTATGTAAAACATTGAATATGAATAGTTTTCATATTATTATATTTACATACCAAAATTGTGAATATCTTACAAATCGAAAATTTCAGGCCAGGCTTTCTATGAGGACATAATATGTTAAATTTGTAATTTTAACGGTGAAAGTAGTAATTTGACCCGAACATGGTCAATCTTCTCGGTGGACAGTACAAAAGGTTCCATTGTAAGATACTTTGATATGGACCTGATGCTTCTTGTTATTTTTCGACAGCAGAAGAACTTGAATCTATATCATCGGATATATCCTTTTTTGTAACAAATCGATCAACACCACCAGCTGTTGATTTAACATTTCTATTCCATGTACTACCTGGATCTTTTCCAGCACGTAATTTTAAATAAAGCTACATGGAAAATTTATATTATATTCAAATATCTATGAAAATTAAAATTTTCTTACATCTTCAAATTCATCTTTAGTTAATTTACCATCTTTATTTTTATCATGTCTTTCAAGAATTTTATCTAATTCAAATTTTTGAACTTTAACACCAAGTTGTTGAAGCATACCAAGTACTTCAGAAAAATCAATGGTACCCTTAAAAATAAATAAAATTAAATGTTTATTAAAATAAAATATATTAGAATCTTTTTTTACTCTCTGAAATTTTTCTTCAACTTCAGGTGATTGCCATTGTTCAGGTTGAATCCAACGACTTTCACGTATATTACTTTTAAGATCTTTTGAACCATCATCATCGATAGTATTCGATCGACTGGAATTTCGATTTCAATAAGCAGGAAATGATGAAGACATTTTGATGGAATGTGAAAGTTTTGAACTGACTATGTATCTAGAAAATATACGATAAATTATTTTTCCATTTGTCGTGAGTATTGGTCATCACCTTTTTTCCTTTTTTTTAGTAAAAATCATTTAGTGAGGACACTTGTTCTATGTGAATCATCGATTATTATGATTCAATATAAGAATAAGATTAAAATACGATTAATAACATAAGGCAAAGAAAACTAAGAAGGAGGCGGCGCAGGAGAAGAAAAAGAAAATGACTGGTAGTTAAATAGGTAATGTAAGTATTAATGTTGACCTTAAAATTGGATTCTTTTCTTATCAACAAGAGAAAAAAAATATAGAGTACTTTGTCATTGAGATAGTTTTTGTATTCTTTGCTGATATTGAAAATGAGTAAGAAA